GAGAAGCAGCGGCATCGTCCGTGGACATCGATTCATCGGATAATTCTATTTTCCAGGAGTGGCAGCCGCGTACAGACCTACCCCGGCAACGATCCGCGTGGTCACCGCTTTGCTGGGAGACTTGTGTACCGACGACAAGGATTGCACCATTCCAAACAGCGAATGCTCGAACGGGGGCTGCATTTGCTCCGAGGGATACGCGGAGACCAGCGACAGACAGGAATGTTTCGGTAAATTCTTCCATTTTTTTTTTCTTTTTCTTATTCATTACACACATCTCAAACTCTCTCTACGAAACGTGGCTCGATTCTCTCACTCTCTTTCTCTCTTAACGAGAAGTACGAAACGAGAGAAGTAGCAATTTTCTTCGAACAAAAAACCGTTCTTCCGTATCAAGTTTCGAAAAACGAGAACAAAGTGTCGTTGAAACGGAAGAAGAAAGAGAAGAAAAAGGGTTTTTCTTTTTCTTCTTCTTCTTCTTCTTCTTCTTCTCTCGAGCGAAAACGACTCTCCTTTTCTTGCGCCCCTTTCAAACCAAGAAAAGAATCTAATTGACCCTGTTTCCAGCTAATTACGTGCCCGTTACACCGACCGAGGAATTCCGTGCCTGCCTGTCGTATCCGTGTCACGCGACATCGACCTGCATCGATCTTCCGAGCGCAACGTTCGTTTGCATCTGTCGTCCAAATTACACCGGCCGATTCTGCGAGGAGATGAACAAAAGGGATTACGAGGTTGCGTCGTTCGACGGTAAGAGCTACGTCAGGATGAACAGATTGAAGGCTTACCACAAGTTCAGCGTCGAGGTCGAGTTCAAGACGTACGCCGACAACGGGATTATACTTTACAACCAGCAGAAGAGCGACGGCACCGGGGATTTCGTCTCGTTAGCTATCGTCGACGGGTACCGTACTTGTTATCTTGCGAATTAGTACACCGAGTTACAACTGGTTAACGATTAATTTCAATCTCAAAACTGATGACGTCCTGTCTCGAGGATGAAAAATTTTGCTATCTCTTTCCACAGACACGTGCAGTTCAGATACAATTTGGGGAACGGCCCCGTGGTTCTAACTTCCCCCGAAAGGGTCACAATGAAGACGTTCCACAGCGTGGCGGCGAAGCGATACCACAAGGACGGTGTTTTGATTTTCAACGACGGGGAGGACGTGGTCGGGCAGAGTCAAGGAATGCTGAAGTCGTTGGATCTGAATCAAGACACGTTCGTCGGGAATATGCCCACCAATTACTCCAAGTAAGGGATGGATCTTGAGGAAGGGTCGAAGTTCGAAGATTTTCAATATTTTTTTCTTAAAATCGTGGTTTGCGACAGGGTTTACGACAATATCGGCACCAACCACGGTTTCCTCGGTTGCATAAGGAAGTTGAAGATCAATCGAATCCACGTGGATCTTCACGTGGGCCGCGACAAGGAGATCTTGGAGACGTATCGGGTGAAGGAGTGCGGGGAGAACGCGTGCGCCAATCTTCCTTGCCAGAACGGTGCCACTTGCCAGCCGATCTTCGAGGAGGATCTGTGCAACGGCCACGAGTGCAGGAGAATGCAGAAACGGGGGAAGGGGAGGAACAAGAACGGGATGAACATCGTGAGGTGCAAGGGGACCCATTGCACCCTGGTCGATCGCGAACGTAGGTCGAAGAAGAACGCGAGGAAACGTTGCGCCACGTCCAAGTGCGATTACGATTACGACGCCGATTACGAGAACGGTTACGAGCACGGGAATTACGCGGTTGAGAAATACGAGCCGCCCAATTACAGATGCATCTGCCCGCCTCAGTTCACCGGTAGGAATTGCGAGGAGTCGTTGGACCCTTGCATAGGAGAGCCTTGTCAGCACGGCGCCACCTGCGACATTCTACCCCAGGGTGGTTACGTTTGCAAGTGCCCGCCCGGGAGGACCGGCGAACATTGCGAAATACGTGAGTGAAATCATTCTGATCGAATTATTATTATTCCTATTATTATTATTATTGTTATTGATATTGTTATTATTATTATTATTAATTTTCGTCACTTTTTTTATTATATATCTCCTTATGGACGATCGTAAATCGGATGGTGAACAGTGGACGCGGAGTTGACGGAACTGTTGATACCGGAAATGTCTGGGGACGGTTTCCTCGAGCTACCATGTTTGGAGGGCGTGGCGAAAGCGTTCTCTATCGAATTATGGTTCCTCACGCACGCCAGCGACGGTTTGCTACTTTACAATGGCCAGTTGAACAACGGGCGGGGTGATTTCATTAGTCTAAACTTGGTCCAAGCGAAACTCGAGTTCAGATTCAATCTTGGAAGTGGTATCGCCAATATTACTTCCCCGGACCCGGTTACCCTCGACACGTGGCATTGTGTTCGAATCAGCAGGCTGGGCAGGGAGGGTGTTCTCCAATTGGATGATGGAACGGTCGCAAGAGGTTTATCGGGAAGTCCATTAACGGAGCTGAACTTGGAAATGCCTCTTTACGTCGGCGGTCTTAAGTGAGTCGAATTGAACGAATCTCGTTTTCTTTTCTTTTTTTTTTTTTGAAATTTGAAAAATATATATATATATATTTTTCTTTTTTTTTATGAATTGTAGACATTGGCGAGAGATTCATCGATTGGCTGGCGCAAGAACCGGATTGGTAGGGGCGATACAAAGATTGATGGTTAATGGAAAAACTTATCAGAATCTAGCTGTCAATGTTACTCAGCATAACACGGAAATCTACGACGGCCTACCGTGTCCAAGCAACGAAAATCCTTGCCACAACGGTGGAGTGTGTCTACCTCTGTTGAACAGTTACCTGTGCAAATGTGCTAGCGGTTACAACGGCCTTCACTGCGAATTTTGTGAGTCACGCCACGACACTTTTTCTCATCGTTGAAAAGTCATCGTAAAAGTAGCGTATTTTTCTTTTTTTTTTCTTCTTCTTTTAATTCCAATTTTTCCACGCAGTCATGGGCTACGACGTATCGACGGAATTATCGGAGAGGCCGGTCCGTTTCAAGGGTGACAATTTCTTGCAATTCAGACACCGAAACGGAAGAAGGTAAATCGATCGAAATTATTACGCAATTATTGTTCGATTATATTTTCATCAAGTTTTCTATCTCGCATAATATCTCTCCTATAAAAAGTCACGTCACACTTGCATCACACCTTGTCAAGGTATTATTCCGAGATTAGGAGCACCAAAGTTAGGCTGTTCGATTAAGATTAGTTTTTTAACGATGGTAGAATTAATTAGATCCTTTCTTCGATCAAATTATCACTAACCTTTTGATTGTGTAACACCGGCTAGTACTAACTCGACTAATACTACCCTCGGCGAGTACTTTGAGGAGTCCTACTCCGACTACGACTTGGAGGAGGATGTCGACTACGATTACGAGAGTTACGATTACACGGAGTAAGTTTCTACGAAGAATTAGCTGTGATGTACTCGTTTGAGGGATATATATGTATACCTTGTTCTATGTGCCTGTGTATCCGACCACTGTCTGCTATCCACCCTTCTTTCTCTTTTTTCATTCGATGAAATAGAACGAATGCCGATACGTCGCACTTTTTCCAACCTTGACTCGAAACTAGGGTTGACAGAGAGGGGTTGTGATACTTTTTATCCATTTTTCTTTCGTTTCTTTGAACGCTGCTTGCTACGCACGTACATATGCGTTTTTTCCTCGCTCTTCGGCACACCGTAGCTCGATGTTCGTTCCGAGAACGTACACCTGGAAACGAAGACTGAACGATTGAACGATATTTTAGGCGCAAGGGTCAACAGTCGAATAAATTCGAGCTGAGATTGAGAACCACGCACCCGGATGGTCTGATCGCCTGGATCGGAAGAGGAAAAGTGGAGCATCTGATCTTGTCGTTGCACGGGGGCCAAGTATTTCTCACGTACAAAAGCAAAAACGAGCAGATATCGTTGAGAAGCAGGGTTCGTATTTCTTTTTTCTTTTCTTTCTTTCTTCTTCTTTTTTTTTTTTTTTTTTTCTTTGACGAAATGCGAAGATTTTCGATTCGATCCAGGAACGGGTGGACGATGGCGTGTTCCATCAAATCAGGGCGTCGAGAAGGCGAAGAACGTCGATGATACAGGTGGACGACTCCGCCCCTGTCAAGGTATCGACAGAGATAACCTTGCTAACGACGAACGGCAAGCTTTTCGTGGGCGGGAAGCCAGGCCATCGAGGCATCAAAGGGTGCGTGTCGGACTTCGTTGTGGACAAACGTCGTCTTCAACTTGGCAGGCGGAAGATCGAGTACTGTCACGACAACGATGTATGATAACGAATCCCGGAAACGACGATTGTCAACGTGACGTCGCCTCTGGCCACGCTTGTCGAGTGGACGACCCTCTTGTCCTCGACGAGTTAACACCAAGCCTAAAAACACGAGACAAAGACGGAGTGAGCGTTGGTGGTGTTCGTTTCTGGGTAAACGAGAGGGACGAGGATTGAACGATCGTGTAAGGAAGGGAAAAAAAGGAAGGAAGGAAGGAAGGAAGGAAGTGAATTTCCTTCGTGGAAAAGGCCCATCTTACCTATCTACGTGGATCCAATAACGTAGCGAGCTAATAATAATTATTTATTTTTCGTTTCGTTATAGTTGTAGAAAGAGGAGATTATCCCGATTATTTCGTGTTAATCGACGAAGCTAGAGAAGAATTAAGAAGAAAGACCAGAGAGAAGAAACGAAAGGATGTAAAGAGGAGTAAAGAAAAAAAAAGAGGTTCTCATCTAAGGACAATAATATATTTTTAAGGTGGCGAGATTAAAAATATACATATGTATATATATGTATATATATATATACATATATATATGTGTGTGTATATATAAAATTTAACGCGTATACGTATATAAGCGGGGTGAGGAAGAGAAGAATGCTTGTGGAACTCGGTTGACTCGGGCGACAGAAGAAGAACAGTGGGGTAAAGAGGTTAGTAGATTTTCGGGCGTGAAAGGGATGAAAGTTATTCGTTTAGACGTTTTATTCTGTAAGTTGAAATATATCGAAGCACTTATAAATGTTTTACGATGCCAAGACTGATTAATGAAAGAAATAAAAAGAAGAAGAAGAAGAAGAAGAAGAAAAAAAAGAAGAAAGCGAGGATTAAATAGCGGGAGTTAAAGGAGAAAAGAAATATAGTTAAAAGAGAACAAAAAAAAACAAAGAAAAAAAAAAGAAAAAACAAAGCGATAAATCGGTGTTATGTTTGAGTGTTTCGGTAGAGAGATTTAAATGATCGTGCATTATCAGAATATAGAAGAATGTATTTTAAAGGACTTGTTGATTTACGCCAGTAGAGAAAAACACGAGGAAAATAAATAAGAAAAAAAAAAAAAAAAAAAAAAA